GGGGCAGGGCGGCAGCGGAAACAGGCTCGGGCAAGCGGCAGCCAACCGAGCGAGTACCCTGCTCCTCTGATGTGGGTCAGAGGGTCGTGCAAACGGGGTTAGACAAAGCGAACAATAAAAAAATGAGGTGTGTATATATAGATAAAAGGTCATAGAGAAAGCTCAACTGTCACACACACACACACATATATATATCTACACACACACACACACACACATCTATCTATCTATATATAAATATATATATATATATATATATATATATATATAATATAAATATAAATATATATATAAATATAAATATAAATAAATAAATATATATATGTATATATATATATATATATATATATATATATATATATATATATAATATATATATATATATATATATATACATATATATATACACACACACCTAAACGTACACATAGAAAGGATATAGATGTAGGCATACCTTAGGGTCACACTGTGTAGGAATCCACTCTGGAATGCTCTCTTCTTCCTCTTCATCTTCCATCATCATTTCCTCTTGCTCCTCTTCCTGCGCAGGAGAACCAGGTTCTCTTTCCTCCTCTTTGTCCTCGTCCCCCTCCTCCTCCTTCTCCTCCTCCTCTTCCCCTCCGCGTCCGCCGCGGACATCGGACGCCTCCCGAACTCTTTGCGACGCCTTCCCAGACACGACTGGCGGGTTCTGCGCCCACGAGGAACGCCCGCACATAATCCTCGTCCGGATGGTCCAGGTTGGCACGGGCGAGGGAAGCAGGCGGCAACGATGGCTCTGTGGCTAAGCTGAAGCCGAATGTCCAAGAGTTCGAAGACGGATTCTGTCACGGCTTGAAGCATGCTCTGGCTGTCGCTCTCGAGGAGGGCGCCGCCGGCGTCTGGGAGCGGCAGGTGTGAAGTATGTGAATTAAGCGAAAGGAGTTAATAATTCTGAACTGCAAAGTGCGGATTGAGTTTAGTGATATAAAGATATGTTCAACAATATGCTCCTCAACGTTAATTATCTTTTGATAAACTAACAACAACGCTATAAAATATCAGTAATACGCTGTCCCGTCACCTTTTTCTGCGCTCCTAGCCCGAACAGTTTCTCCCAATGCGTCCATCTTGTAGGCAAGGTTCTCGTGCAGGAGATGCAGCGGTATATTATAACTCACGTCCAGGGTGGCGAGGGCTTCGGCCACTCGGTGCAGGAGGCCGGCAAAACGCCCATTTGCAGGTAGCTCTCAGACACCTGCGTCGTAACCTTTGCCAACTGCTCCTCCTGCTCGCCTGCCGTGTCGATCGCCTGTGCAGTGCGTGAACAGATTACGTCTAGTACAGATCGCAAGAGAAGCGCAGGTTTATATAAATCAACATAAGATAACGTGGCGAGTTTTCAGTGAACGGCATGAACGCCCCTCCACGGCGACTCACATTATTGAGTGCGTCCACGTGATCCATGAAGGCGTCGAGGTCGTCCGCGGACGTGGCCTTCGAGGCATGGATGAGCGCCCTGACGAGCGCCCTTCGGCGGCCTCCTTGCCCTGCCGCGCTGCCGTCGTCACCTGCACGGTCTTCACCATTTCCTCCTCCAGCTGGGTTGTGCCATCTAACAGCTGTTTGGACCAGCTGATGCACAATACCCTGTTCGTGATGTTGGCGGTTAGCAAGTACCAATTAACTAAGAAATTGTAAAGCATAACAACAAAATTATAACATTTCATAACAGATATCATGTTTGTTTATTCCATCAACGCAAACCATTAAAGATCAACTCTTTTGCTCCCCACCTGGTCGTCGAGAGCAAGGTCGATGGCGGGAAGATCGGTGCAGAGCGGACACGGCGCCTCTGAACACGTGTCGTCCAGCACCACGAGAAGCCGCAGGCTTCCGTCGCCGTCTGAGGGAAACGACCGTGACAGTTTTATATTTTATTCATCATTCCTGACGGTTTTGTCTTAACTCATAACATTATCGATTGGACTTTTAATCTGCATTAGCAAACATTTTATCCTGACTTATTCTTGTAGCTTTGTAGATTTAATTCTTGATTTATCTTGTTCTTCCTCTGCCCATAGTGGTTCTTTCTTTTCTCTTCCCATGACACTCACCCTGTAGCAGTTTCTGTGTACAGGCCACCACCTCCAAAGTCGCAGCATGTTGCAGTCGTAAATAGAGCGGCGTGCGTGGAGTGACTGCCAGCCTCTCCACCAGCGCCTCCCTCCACGACCCCGACTCCACATTCACCCAAACTCCACCTCTGACGTACTCCTCCACCTGTGCCAAGCGGAGTGGTATTTAATTTTCTGGTTTTAGTATTTGAGACTTTTGCTACTTAACAGAAGGGTTGAGTTATTAGTAGTTATCTTTGAAAGTGTATTCTCTCTCTCTCTCTCTCTCTTTCAGATACATATCCATTACGTATACTACCAAATGATGAGGATCCCGCAGGAGCAGAAGAGGGGCACGATTGGCGTGATGCTGGAGGGCCTCGTCGACGTCCTGCTGAAGCTCC